CTTTTGGTCACCCACAGGATAAGAAATCTGTGTCACAGCTTTGGGCCAAGTTTTAACTGAAGGAGCAGCACCACCCTTTCATGGCCCAGAAGGTCACTAGTGAGGGGAGGTCCCCAGCCCATCAGTGGTAAGAACCGGTACATCATGAAAGGGCTAAATGCCATACAGACCATTGACGATTTCTTCTCTAACGTGTCTGGCTGATAATTCCATGCTGATGTTTAAACTACAAGACAGATTTTGCTGGATCCTTGAAATAGTACCATTCAATTATTTGCCATAAATCCTAAGTTCTTAAAATAGACCACACATTTGAAAAGCACGTCTGAACTAGAGAACAGATCCTGCCGCAGGAAACGGGGAGACGCAGTCCCTGCTCGCTCCCAGGGAAGACATAGGATCAGGTGTCATGACCACATTCCACTAAATAGTAAATAACAAGGCACTTGAAATGGCGTTCACCAGGTCAATTAATATATTTGAGTAATTTAGGGACACCTGGGAGGCTCAGCCGGTTAAGTGTCTGACTTCGGCTCAGGTCATGATCTCATGATTCCTAAGTTCAAGCCCCACATCAGGCTCTGTGCTGACAGCTCAGAGCTTGGAGCTGCTGCAGATTCTGTCTCCTGCTTTAGATTCTGTCTTGCCCTCTCCCTCTCTGCCCCTCCCCTGCTCATGCTCTGCCTCTCTCTGTCTCTCTCTCAAAAATAAATAAGCATTAAAAAATTAAGTAAATAAAATAAAATATTGTAGTAATTTGAAAGTCTGTCACTGTGACATATTTCTCTTCCCAGGGAGTTTTGGGGAAAGCATCATTTAGACCTGAATTATTTGAATAATTGATCTAATTCTATCTGTGGAAGAGTATGCAAAATGTATATGAGTTGTATCAGGGTTTGGGAGAAGTGCAGGAAGAGAGAGCAATGTCCACATTGAGCATGTGATTTGTTCCCTTTTTTCCTGAACGTGGCTGCTGGTGAGTCACACATGTAGGTAGATTTGACACGCTTCTTGATGACAAAAAAATTCTACTAGTTATACAAAGGAGGTAGGTCAGAAGGGACTGATTTCAGCAGGTCCTCTGAAGGCTAGTTCTCTTAGTATATATGCCAGAATCCACCAATTAAAAACACACAAAAGCAGTCAAGAGCTTGAGAAAAGCCTGGACTTATTGACAGTAACTTTCCCAAAGTCGGACACGGTACACAGATGATGCTGGTGGTTGGTGGTCCGGGGCCATTAGCTCTGAGCAAACGGCAGGTTGATCGGGCTGTGGGGGGAGTTTGGGAAAACTGCACAGGGGTGAGGCTTCCAAACAGAATGCGAGGTTTGTATAAACGGCTCAGAGATGAATGACCAGGATGGGTGGAGTATTCTAGATCCCCAGTCCAGCTGCATTCACTACAGAGGAAGCATTTCCTCCCAGAGCTCAGCGGGAGAACGTGGAGGCCAGGACAGGGACCCAGGCGGCCGGGGACGGAGTCCGCAGGCGGAAACGGGTCAGCGATGCCCACAGCCTCTGTGTCTGTGCCCAAGCTGGTGCTCAGTCGCGGAAGTCACTCAGATGATTAAAACCGACATTAATGTTCTGACGTTACTTGAATGCCAGCTGCTCAGAATTCAAGGACAGTCCATGGGAACACGAGTGAAACGGGGCCACGTGTGGGCAGATGTCCCAGCTACTCTGGATCCTATCCAACGCCTCCTCCAACCCAACTTCAGCATCATCAGACAGTGGCTGGATCTGCATATTTCTGGTGCCTCAGGAAGATCGTTTTGTTTTTAAAATCACGCATCCATTTGTGCAAAGACCGACAGACGCCGGCTTGGCTGATACCCGTGGTCTGAACATAAAAATAAGGACACGACACTTTACTTCCTTTCCGGAGCCCTTGGCCCCGCGGAAGGCACTTGGCCTCCACCCCCCGTGGGGCATGCAAGTGCCCTCTGAGGCCCGAGATGACTTTCTAACGAGCAGGCAGGAGACAGGTGTGTGTCGGGGGGGTGGTGCTCGGCACTCCAGGGCCACAGGGAGCCTCTGGCGCCGACCTGCAGCCCTGATCCCCTTTGTCCGAGGGAGGAGCCATCCCGCACCTGGACAGCCCCCTGTCTTGGGAGGACACCACTCACCCGTCCCTGCAGTGTTTCTAGAAAGTTCTGTGATCAGTTACAATTACAATATGCCTGGGCCCTGGTCAGCAAAATGATTTTTTTTTAATTTTTTATTTATTTCTAGGAGAGAGAGAGAGACAGCGTGAGCAGGGGAGGGTCAGAGAGAGAGGGAGAAACAGGCTCCAGGCTCCGAGCTGGCAGTCAGCACAGAGCCCGACGTGGGGCCCGAACCCACGAATCGCGAGATCATGACCTAAGCGAAAGTCGGACGCTTAACCGACTAAGCCACCCAGGCGCCCCATCAAAATGATTTTTTAAGGGGCGCATAACAGGGAGGGGCCCAAAGGCATTGACGCAACAGGACTGGGGGCCACACAGCCCTGACGCTGCAGGTGCTCATCTCCAACCCCGTTCATCCACCGTCTGCCCCAGAGAAGAGCCCCATCCCACTGGGGGTCAGGTGTCAGTGCCCGGTGTCCCGCGCTCGCTCCCCTCCCTCCCCTCTCTCCCCCTCTCTCTGCCCCCCTTCTTTTGCCAGGAAGCCACCCCTAAGGGCTGAAGAGCCTGGAAAGGGCACGGGCTCTGAGGCGAGATGGCATTTTCCTTCATGGCCGCGGACAGGTGTCACTGCAGAGTCTTACCCCTAAGGCACTGGTTTTCTGGTAGAAATAATATTAAGAGCATATTTTTAAGTCTTTATACGACAGAAGGCTAAAGAATATTTGGGTGACAGAGGTGCCCTTGGCGGCTCAGTCGGTGGAACAAACAGCTTCTGATCTCAGGGTCCTGAGTTCGAGCCCTGTGTTAGGTGCAGAGATTACTTAAAAAACAAAATCTTTAAGAAATTAAAAAAAAAGAATTGGGTGGTATAAAAATGGCGACAAGGTGGTGGTTTTCACCAGGACAAATGGGTCAGGATGTGAAGCCTGTTTTCCTCAGACAGACAGAGGACGACCTTTCTTGGCCGCTAGAGTGGTCACACTTCCGTTGTGATGCAGTTTAAAAAACACCAATTTTCACAAGCTGGCGTTGGAGTCTTAGCCAACACCTTCCCTCGTCTCCCATGCCCTCAAGCCCCGGAGGGCAGGCGGAAGGCCACCCACCCGGCCATCTGCCTCCGTGTCCACACAGTGAAGCTCTTAGCGCTGTGTCTTTGTCCAGTGATGCCGCCAAATCTCTTTCCTTTCCGAAGGACTTCAGATGGGAGCCTTTTTCCTGCCTGAGCAGAGTGGGGGCTGGGCTCGTCTGCACCTCCTGAAGGTTCTAAGGCTCATTTTGTAATGCCCCCTTCCACGGGGCGGAGACACACAGCCCCGAGCGTCACCCTGGGTGTAGCACTCAGAAGGAAAGGAGCCCCAGACCGGGTCCAGCAGGAGGGACTCAAGAGGTAGCAGTCAGAGGTGGGTCCCCACCAATGTGTGCAGCCGCACTGCAGCCACAGGGTGAGAGCTGTGCATTTGCTGATGTGACCACAGTCACACGGCCGCGCCCCATCCACTGTCACCTTATGCTGCCACTGGGACCTTCCCCAATCTCGTGCAGGTAGGAAATCAGGTCAGGGTGGAATTACTTCCTCCACCATCACAAAGCAAGCAAGAGGCACCCAACTCCAGTCCCAGACCTGCCGGACCCACACCGTGTCCTCACCCCCAACACGAGACCCACAACACCGTGTCCTCACCCACAACACGAGACCCATGACCCCGTGTCCTCACCCCCAGCACGGGACTCACACCATGTCCTCACCTCCAACACGGGACTCACTACACCGTGTCCTCACCCCCAACACGGGACCCACAACCTTGTGTCTTCACCCCCAACACGGGACCCACGACCCCGTGTCCTCACCCTCAGCATGAGACCCACGACACCGTGTCCTCACCCACAACACAGGACCCAAAACACCGTGTCCTCACCCCCAGCACGGGACTCACTACACCATGTCCTCACCCCCAACACGGGACTCACTACACCATGTCCTCACCCCCAACACGGGACCCACAACCTGTGTCCTCACCCCCAACACGGGACCCACGACCCCGTGTCCTCACCCCCAACACAGGACCCACGACACCGTGTCCTCACCCCCAACACAGGACCCAAAACACCGTGTCCCCCCCCCAGCACGGGACTCACACCATGTCCTCACCCCCAACACGGGACTCACTACACCGTGTCCTCACCCCCAACACAGGACCCACAACCCTGGGTCCTCACCCCCAACACAGGACCCAAAACACCATGTCCTCACTCCCAGCACGGGGCCCACGACACCGTATCCTCACCCCCAGCATGGGGCCCACGACCCCGTGTCCTCACCCCCAGCACGGGGCCCACGACCCCGTGTCCTCACTCACAGCACGGGGCCCACGACACCGTGTCCTCACCCCCAGCACGGGGCCCACGACACCATGTCCTCACCTCCAGCAAGGGGCCCATGACCCCGTGTCCTCACCCCCAGCACGGGGCCCACACCATGTCCTCACCCCCAGCACGGGGCCCACGACCCCGTGTCCTCACCCCCAGCACGGGGCCCACGACACCCCCACGACACCGTGTCCTCACCCCCAGCACGGGGCCCACGACCCCGTGTCCTCACCCCCAGCACACAGCACCACCTGGCACCTTCCATCCACAGCACCTTCAGGGCTCCGGGCACCAGGCCAGGGCTGAGCACATGGGCACAGGGAGGGCCAGCATGGGCTGGACGCTGGCCAGTGTCCAAGGTGCCTGGAGCCACGGAGGCACCTGTCCGCTGAGGCCTGGGTCCTCCCGGCATCTGTCTACTGGTTACACCTCTTCGTTGCCCAGTCAGATGGTCCCTTTCCCTCCCACACCACCCCGCTGCCCACTGAGGAGACGCAGGAGCAAAAGGCACCATCACCTACCGGTTCCGCTTGGTTCTCACGTTGCGGTCTTCCTGGCCGTCCTCGGACCTCGACCCGTCGCTGTGGTCGCCTGGAGGAAACCCAAGTTAACAAGGTTGCCGTGTGAGCGCCCATCACCCCGGCAACCCCGGGCAACCCCACTTCCAAGCGGGGTCAGCTGGAAGTTCAGGAAATGATTTCCCGCAAAGACTGATCTCAAATCCTGGAAGCAGCCTTCCCTTGGGGCTCGCTCTGTGCTCCCGCAGGAGAGAGACCTCACTCTTCTGTGCGAGAAGGCGCCTCAGCTGCTGTCCACTCAGAGGCTGCTAGGTGGTCCAGAGAAGCCAGGGCTGGGCAATGGGGGGTGGGCGTCACCCAATCCCACCCCCGCACCTCGGGACGCAGGCCCCCGATAAGCCCTCCTGCGTCCCGTGTCCCTGCAGCTTCTCGCAAATGACCCGAGAGGCCTGCCCCCGCCCCCCGCCCGTGTCCCTGCAGTGAACCCTCCCACTTCTGCACATGGCACGCCCTTCCCTACTGCCACGTGGCTGCTTCGAAAACCCAGACTGATTTTGAAGGCGGGCCCCCTGTTTCCATCCTGAGAGAGCTGGCCTTGTAAATACTTGATGAGCTTTGGGAATGAAAATGTAAAAAGGTGCTTCAGCATTTCCCATCTGTCTCCAAGAGGGAAAGAGGAAAAATGAGGAGCAGGATGGTTCTAGAGCATTATTATTGCAGTCCTGACAGATGAACCATTTCCAAATGCTCCCTGGCGTCACAACTGCTTTCTGCCCTGCTTCTCATTCTGTGTCCATCACGCGCAGGAGACCGCTTTCTCGTGCCCTGTGCCCTGCGCCCGTGTCCCATGCCCCGTGTCCCATGCGGGTAGAGGTACAGGGGATGGAGATCCGTGGAGCATCCCCAGGTCCCCGTGTCCCCAGCCCACCGGCTGCTTAAAACCCGCCCTTCCTGGGGAGGCTCCCCCATGAGAACAAGGCCACAAAGGATGTGCTGTTTGGAATCCCAGCGAAGCCTCCACCACCACCACCACCTATTCATAGGTTTCTTTTGATGTCAAGTGTAGGGCTCTGTAGGATGAGATAGTCAGGTTCTGGAAGCTCCCAGCCACCCCCTCCCATCCATTAAGGAACAGAAGCCCCCCCTTCCTGGTTGAGAACCAGGTATAGAGATGAGAGCATCTGTGACAACAGCTGATGTGGGAAGGAGTCACCGTTTTCATGCTCCACACTCTTCCCACCTACCCGTCTAGGGCGCCAACAGTCGGCCTTTCTAGGCCCCACGAGGCACACTCACCTCCCTGCACCTGCCTGGTCCTTCCCTCCTGGCCTCTCGGCCTCAATGTCCCACGGGCACCCAGCCCTGCACACTCAACCTGGCCAGCCCCGTGCCCACCCTTCCCTGTACCAGCCTCCATGCCTCCCAGACGCCTGCACCTGAGACCCCAGGACTGGATCCTGGCCCCCTGCCCCCGGCACACGGGGTCTCACAGGGGCTCCACCTCCAACCCCAGACCAGCCGCGAGCCCGCCTGTCTGCACCTCAGGGTGTTTGAAGGTGCGCCTCCTTCCCAGAGCACCCAGGGGAGGTGATGCTCAGCCAGGTTTGGAGAAAGAGTGGGCTTGTGTTTTGCCACCTGCTGGTCTTCTAGGCAGAGAGGCTGGGTGATGGGAGACAGGGCCAGAATAAGAGACGAGGTGGAGAAGAGACAGAGCCTTCCCCTTGCTCCACTCCAATCTACACTTCATGGAAATCAAAGGGTAGACATGAGGAATCAACATTTTTGCATTAAAAATGAGGTCATGCAATTATAAAGCTATTGATTATATTTTAAACTTTTTGTTTGCTGTGAATAGTCTCATCATGAGGAAAGTAATCAAGATACAGAATCCAGAAGCCATAAAGGAAAATATTCATAAGTGAGACACAAGCTTGGAAGGTCGCGCACTCAGCAGAGCAGGGAGCCCTGGGGTCGGCGGCTCCCCCACATGCACATGGAGCTCTGGATTCGGATGAGACCACAGAGCTGCCCGGAGGAGCCGCCAGCCCTCCCTGCCCACACAGATAATGGAGCAGAAGCTGCCGAGGGCACACATAAGGACCACGCATTTAAAAAACAGTTTGGGAAACTCACAGGTTGAAGCGCCAGGTCTCCACAAGCAGGGACCAGAAATCTCTGAGAATGGGAGAATCCGATTTCCAGGATGTCCATGTAATAAATCCAGAAAGTGCGGTTCTCAACAAAAATTAGAACCCGTACAAAGAAACAGGAAAGTGTGGCCCATTCACAAGAGAAAGGAATTGGACAGAAACCATCCCTGAGGAAAATCAACTCTGACTGGATGAGAGAGATACATAGAGGAGCTAAAACCATAAAGCTCTTGGGGGAAAACATGGGGGAAACGTTGACATTGGATTTGGTCATGGTTTCTTACCTATGACACCAAAACACAGGCAATAAAAGAAAAAAAGATAAAAGGGACTTCATAAAATTAAAACCTTTTATACATCATAGGACACTATGGCCACGCAATGGGAGAAAGGTTTGCAAATCACACACCTGACGAGGGATTAGCACCCAGAGCGGGTATCAACTCCTACCGCCTCGCAGCACCACCACCGACCAAGACGACAACAGCCCAGTTAATAAAAACACAAGTGACATGAATGCATCTTCTCTAAAGAAACCATACGAATGGCCAAGAAGCACGTGACAAGGTGTTGCACACTCAACCATTAGGGAAATGCCGATCCAAACCCGGAGGGGGTCCCTTTCCCACGCACTGTGCTGGCGATCACCACAGCAGCGAAACTAACACTAACGATAAAACCTTGATCAGCAGGTTCGACCAGGGATGGAGAAGGATGAGAAGACACGTGTGTTGCTGGTGGGAACGTATAATAGTGTCACTGCTGTGACAGAAGTGTCGGCTGCTCCTCCAGAAGTCAAACGTAGAATTGCCCCTTGAGCCAGAATTTCCGCCCCTCAGTATCTACACAAAAGAACTGAAAACACAGACTCAAACAGGAATTTGTGTGGCGATGTTTATACTAACACGACTCGTAATAGCCGAATAGTGGCAACAACAAAGTGTCCGTCAACTGACGAATGGACACAAAATGGGTCCCTCCACGCGATGGAATATTATTCATCTAGAAACGGGAATGAAGGTCTGGCACAGGCAACAACGTGGATAAACTGAGAAGACATTAAGCTTCATGAAGCAAGTCAGACACAAACGGGGCAGGACCCCGCAGCACCGCTCGCAGGAGGCATATGAGCAGGCGAGTCCATGGCGATGGGGGCAGAACGGAGGCTCCCGGGGCTGCGTGAAGGACACCCTGGGGACCTGCTGATTACGGTTATGGAGTTTCTTCGTGGGGTGAAGAGAGCCTTGGAAGAGGTAGTGATGGTTGTACAACATTATGAAGGAAGTTGATGCCACCAAATTGTACACTTAAAAATGGTTACAATGGCAGGTGCCCAGTTATGTATGTTTCAGTACAATCAGAAGAAATTCAGGACCAACTTTTTATGGGAAAAATATCAAAAGACGAGGAAAAAAAATTACAATCGTGCTGTAGCCCAAATGCTGATACTTACAACAGTCCATATATTTCAATAAAAAAGGCAAAGACCTAAGCATGTCACAGGAATACAAAACAAACGGCCAAGAAACCCTTGAAAAGGTTCAATGTCAGTCAAGCTAAAGAAATGCCGATTTGAACAAAGAATGGCTTTAAGAATCAAACGTGGATGGTGTCTGGTGCTTGTAGAAGAATGCAGGATCAGAATCTATTAGTGGGTCTGGGACCTGGGTTATCTTCGTGGAGGAAAATTTAAAAGGCATGTACCTTTTGACCTGGCAGTTCTAACAAGACAAATTTATACAGTACAAACACTTATAGGGATGTTCCTAAGATAAATAAATGTGCACAAAGATGTTCTGATCAGCATGCCCAGCTGAGGGGGGGGAGCCCTGCACGTGGACCCTGAGCGCTCTGCGGGACCCGTGTGGGCCCCCGGGGGCCGGGGTCAGGGCTGGCCAGACGCCGGGGTCCCACGTAAAGGGCTGCCCCGGGGGCACGCACGGAACGCAGGGCTCAGCGGCCTGTGCTTCTGCTTGACGGCACCTCTGACCTGACATCCCTACCAAGCACCCGGAGACTTCCTAAAATCCACGAAATCTGCAACAGACAAATCATTCACTTAAAAGCTGTTTGTCCTGTGCTTCGGCCTGGTGCTTGGGGGGCACCGGGAAGACCGGGCGCCCCCCCCCCGTTCCCTCCAAGACGTGGAAGAGGGGCAGCCCCCAGGACTAACGAAAGCTGTCCCCCAGGCTGGGTCAGGGCAGGCAGAGGCGGGTGCGGCTGTGTGCACGGGGGACACAGGGGAGTCCCGGGGGGACCCAGGACCCTGCACTGTGGCTCTACCGTCCCCACCAGCTGGGGGCGTCCTCACACCAAAATTGGTCTCTGCTTTTTGTTTGTGTGCAGGTCGTGTTCAGTTTCTGGATAAAGTGTTGAAATACAATGTCAGGTGAGAAAGAGCCTGAACTGAGCTGGGCAGTGGTCCACACGGCCCCAGTTGGGGGGGTTTGGGGGGTGGAAGCCGCGTAGACGCTGCTGGGCGGAGGTCTGGTGGAAGCCAGGGGCCAGGCACCCGGAAGGGCTGGCGGACTGTGTCCCCCTCACTGCAGGTACACTCATCGCCCCCCTTTCCCCCGTTCACTCGGAGTTTGCCCAGGCTCCTCCCGCCCCTCCCCCAGACAGGGCCCCCCGATGGGCCCCCTCTGCTTCCTGGGGTGCAGTGGAGGGGCTCTTCCTCAGGGAGCCCCCTGGCCGCTGATCTGGGACTCACTTTGCTCTTCCCCGGTGCCCACGACACGGCTCGGCCCTGCCCCTGGGCCTTCTGCTCCCTGCTGGGGCCGGGGTCCAGCCCGGGGCTGGTCAGTCCAGTCCCCAGGTACACAGATGACTGGTCTGGAAGGGGACAAGCATCCTCCTCCCTCCCCTTCTTTCCCTCCCTCCTTCATTCCTGGGTCCACAGTTGGGGGGTGGTGACAGCTTGAGGCATTCAGTTCCGGGGGGAAGTACTTTGAAAACTGCTCTTCCAGCCTCTCGGGGTTAATAGCGGCATGGACAGGATACAGCCCCGCACCGGCGCGAATTCAGCGGGGCAGCCGAACCCGGCTGAGCCTCGGCTCTGCCTTCCTGGCCACCCAGCTGCAGACTCTGAGAGGTGACCGTCACAGAGCCCCGTGAGGATCCCCACTGTGATGCCCATGGGCCGGCCTGTCCCGGCTGCCAGAAAATTCTACTAGGAGTTCAGCAGATTCCCAGACCCTGCTTCCTGGAGGGACGGCCTGTCCCCGCTCACCTGCCCCATCTAGGGTCTGGATCATTCATCCTGCAAAGAGGAGGCAGAGGCGAGGGGCCCCCATGCATTGTGGGGTGTGGGGCCAGGTCCCGTGTGAAGGTCAGCGTCCCTCCCAAATAGCCAGGATGAGTGAACTCTGCTTGGGGCGGGGGCCCTGTGACCTGACCCCTGGGGACAGGGGACGCCCACACTGGAGGGAGGACAAGTCGCTGAGCCTGGCCGCCGGGTCCCACCTCGGCTCAGGGCTCTGCGTGCTGCCCCTGGGCAAACAGAGCCTGGGGAGTCACAGCTGTGTTGGCTCCCAGAGACGGCTCTGTGTCCTACTTGGCAGAATGAACATCATTATCACCGTACATCTGTCCTGAATATAAATGACTAAAATGTTTACAAAGTAATTGAAGCCAAGTGACGTCCGTGCCTCTCTGTCGCAAGTCGGGGACAAAGCGGCATTAAAGGACAAAGCCACCTGCACCTGACTGTGGGTGTGTCGGGCACGGGGACGCATGTGTTACCCTCACAGGCTCCCAGCTCACGAGAAGGCTGGTGAGGCTGCGCCTGCTTGGACAAGGAGTCGGACCCACCAGGGTGTACATCCGGGCCCCCTACCTGACAGAAGGGGACCTTGGGCAAGTTAGTTAATCAATCTCTTGTTTATCCCCTTGTCTGTTAAATGGGTATAAAGCCAGGGGGTTGCAGAATGATGAGCCCAAAGAATGTATCAGGTTATGTGGCAAACGGGGGTCTGACCCGTTTGAGATGGGAAAGCCTCTGACCTTGAGATGGGAGAGCACCCAGGTCGTCCAGGTGAGCCCAGTCTCCTTCCAAGCAGAGGAGGAAGGCAGAAGAGTCCCCAGAGGATCTGAGGACGCAGTTCTGCTGCCTTTGAAGGTGGAGCAAGGGGCCCCAAGCCACCGAAACCCGGCGGCCAGAAACCACGTCCACCAACCCCCCTGGGACTTAAGCCCTGTAACTGTTGCTGTGGGCAGCGGCTAGGTGTGTGACAACGTGGCACAGAAGCGACGGGCACTTCACACAAATGGCGCCCGCCTGGTGAGGCTGGCCGAGCATAGGTCACCAGGCTCCGCACCCCCGTTTTCCTGCAGACTCCCCTCCCCCCCGCACCTGTGCGCCCCACAGCCCCAGTGCGCGGCCTGGACGTCCGGGAGCTCTCTGTCCGGCACAGGTAAGGGAGGGTGAATGTGGTGCCAGCTGAGGGTCTCACAGGGCTGTGGACACCGGAGCCTGGGGACCAGCACGCGCGTCCTCTCAGCCCGAGCCCGGCGAGGCCCCTGCACTGCTGGCCAGGTGGCGGGTGTAGGCTGAGGCGCCCCCTGCTCAGTGCACATCAGCTCCGCGGGGTCTGCTCTCAGCTGGGCGCGTGGCCGTGGGAGCTGTGCCAAATCTGGTCGCGCTGCCAGATCATTAGGAAATGGTTCTGGTCTTTGTCCGAACCTCCCAGCGATGCTAACAGAGTGAAGAAGGGGACTCTGTTCCTTGTCTGTTGAGTGATGAGTGGCTCAGCGCCTTTGGCAGGGCGGCATCCTGGCTCCAGAAGCCATCCGACACCATTAGCACCGCTTGTTTGCCTTGCGTCCCCAGCACACACACACACACACACACACACACACACACACACACACACTTCTAGAACTAACCGCAGCTGAATGTGGCAGCTATTTTGTAAAATTCGTGTGTTTCATTCGCCTCTTGAAAAATAATTGATATCAGTTGGAATGCTTAATTGTTCCATTTCAGACCAGGAACAGGTATTAATATATTCAAATCCATAATGACTCATAGGTGAACAAAATGTGAAAAACAGAATCCTCCACCAAGAACAATCTCCCCTGGAGCTGGTTCTTATAATAATTAGGGTCAAATCATTTGATGATTCGTGATGGGTGAACAGCCAGGGAAAAATGTCACTTGCTGATGGCTGGAGGTCATCCACTCTGCCCACTAATCGCTAATTAATCTTCCAGAAACACCTTCTGTCCTAATTGTTTTGCCGCAAACAAAACAGTTTGGGTGGGTAGGTCTTAGGAAATTAAAAATTATGCACGTAAATGTCAATTCTACCCTGCAACAGGCAGTTGAGAATTGGGGTCATTTGCATATCTTGAAGATTCAGGTAAAAAAAACCTACTGGTTTAAGAAAATCTCTTCCTCTTTTTATAAGAGGGACCAAGATGAAAACGTGTTTTGTAACTACATGTAATTTATTAATCACATATCTATCCAGGTAGAGTAGTTTGGGCCATGGTAATAAGTTAATGGATGACAAAATATCCTGATAATTAAATCTAAATTTGTCAGATATTTCTGGTTGTGTTTGTCAGACTTAAGGCTCAATTCTCTACCTTTTTAAAGTAGAAAATGAGATTCTTGTTAGGAGACTGAAATGGAGCACTGATCTATGACCCAGGTAATTCACATCCTTGTCGTTAAATTAATTAAACAAGGAGGCCACTAGGCTGACGTGGCTCTGACTCCTCGGAGGTCTACTTAAGCAAACCTAAAGCTAAGCCAGTAAATGTCTCAGGTTGTAACATCAATCAAAACACTAAGGATGACCCGGGCGCCTGGCGGGCTCAGCCCGCTATGTGTCCCAGTTCAGTTCAGGACGTGATCTCGTGGTTTGTGGGTTCAAACCCCACGTCAAGCTCTGTGCTGACAGCTCAGAGCCTGGAGCTGCTTCAGATTCTATGTCTCCCTCTTTCTCTGCTCCTCCCTTGCTCGCTCTCTCTCTCTCTGAAATAAACATTTTTAAAAATGCTAAGGATGACCAATCAGCAGTAGGCAACTCTGTTGGAAGCTGCCGCCAATCCAATGGTTTCCCTTCTTCGCTTCCCCACCTTGTCTGTACCTCCCCCCTCCCCACCCCCGGCTCCCATCCGCCGCTCAGAACTGCTTCTGGTTTGGCACTACCCGACTTGAACCGGCTTCCGCTCAAATAAATTTTTCAAATGTTTAATATCCCTCAGCTAATCCTCCACCTACAGTCCTCACAAGCCTTGAAATGGCAGGTGACTCAGTGGGGAGTTCAGCGCACACCTCTTTCTCCCAGACCTGGCTGTGTGAGATCCACAGGACAGAAGCCACAGCGCAACCGTGCGTGGACTGTTAATGAGCTCCTCCCCGTGCCTGCCAATACTTCGAGGACAAAGAGGAAAGGGAGAGGAGGGAGGGAGGGAGGAGGGAGGGAGGGAGGAAGGAAGGAAGGAAGGAAGGAAGGAAGGAAGGAAGGAAGGAAGGAAGGAAAGGAGAAACAGCAGCCAATTACCTACAAGTATGTAGGTCAAGGACACTGTCTGCATTATTTGTCTTTTATTGATCAAATACAGTCACACTACCATAAACGCACTTCCGCATTTCTCATGGGACCGGGGGTCCTGTGACGCCCCAAGGTGTGCAGTGTTCTGTTGTCCATGAGTCAGGGGGTGGCTTTCTATGAGGGTTTGTTTCTAAACCTTCTCTCAATAAAATATTCTTTGGAAAAATGGACAGAACTCAGTCAAAGGAGGAAACAATAAGGTCAAAAACCCAATGCGTATTGTCCGTGATTGCAGCTAAGGTTTTACAGATTCAGTTAACAATGCACCTAACACTTGTCTTTTCCCAGCGCCGGTTGACCCAGGCTCTCTGGAGAAGGGAGGGTTACCTTTCGTGAAGCAAGCATGTTACTGTGTCGTCCCTCAATCTTAAAGACCACCGCCAGCTTTGGAAGAGTAACATTTTCCAGCCTCTCGGCACTGTGAACAATGCCAAGAAGACTTTTGCGATGTTCTAAAGTTCTAGTTAATGCCTCTGCCTTTGAGTGAGAGCTGTGGGTGGGAGCTGGCTTGTGTTGGCCTATATCATGGGAATAAAAAACATCAATAAACTCAGTAAAACACCCTTAAAAATAAAACAAAGACCCTCTTTCCAGGGGGTCAAGATCCAGTTTCCTGGCTTCTCAGCCAAGTGAGTGTGTCTCGGGTTGGGAGATTGCTGCCATTTCGAGGTTCTCCAGTGTAGCCTGTGCTACTTTAACCCACGTGCTCAGGGAGTGGGGCTTTCCCAGCACCGCAGCTAATAAAAAATATATGACTTCTAATCGGAAAGGATCCTTGCTGAAAATGCTAAATGTTCTTCTCAGACTCTGGGGAAATGAGATTTACACGGGTGTCTTCATACACAGCCAGCTTCCTGCCAAGTACCCCGTCCCCTACAGCAGGAACGCGTCCAGCCCCCACATGCCCGCCTTGCCCTCGAATTCAAGCAGCCCTCAAATAAACAATGGATGGATTTGGTCCAAAGCTCTCAAACGAAGGTAGAAGGAAATATGCTCTGGTTTGTGAGCATCTGCTCTCTCAAGTGGAGTCCACGAAACATTTTGGATGGAAATTCAGTGTTGGCTGACGACAATTCTAGAAGCTTCGAGAGGCGGACAGAAGGCCTCTGAGTTCACAACTTTCCGCAATGTGGGAAGGAGCCCCCACCAGCCCCCGGGGAAAGAAGCGCCTTCAGCAGAAAGTGTCATAAAAACTTACTTCTTAAATTCTAAAGTAACGAACACAATTCTTTAAAAATAAATTCCCAGCATAGCCAGGAAAAACCCGCTTCCCTTCACGGTCCTCAGAACATGCAGTTCAGACACTCGGGAAAGTGGGTGCGAATGGCCCGCTGTCAGTTACCTCCTGGGGCCTCCAGCTTGCGCTTGTGGGGCGGGTCCTCAATGATCCTGTTGAGGTCCCCGCGGTTTTTCAGGTCCGTGGGCTTCTCCCACACGGACAGCTGCATCGTCGGGTTGAAGAAGAAAACCCGGTCATCCCCCGTCCACACCACACACCTGTTTGAATGGAAAACCCACTTCAGTTACCCTCAGAGACACTGAGTTAAATCATTGGCCTGAGCCCTCACCTCATTAACCCTTGGCACCTGAAATCCACACATTCGCAAAGGTTACTTAGGCAACGTATAAATGATAATGACCATGTCAGGCTTTTTCGGGTACTTCACAGAGCTTTTCGTATTTCTCCATTCGATTAACGGGTCGATATTATCCTGACTATCCTTTAACCAGTATGGACACTGGAGGTGAGCAAAGCAAGCAACCTGACAAGGCCCTTGGAGGTCCAGGCTCTTCCTGGCGAGTCAACGGTCCCGGCGTCACATAGCTCCAATGCGACCCCATGCTCTGGGGCCCCACCCGCCGCCGGCCCAGGGACGGCGTACTTTGCAGGGGGCTTCCCGTCCACATTCCTGATTAAGTAACGTATATGCGGGCGGATTCGTGGGCCATTGTAGCCTACAGCAGTCCACACGCTCCAGCATCAGGAATATTAAAAGGGCTGCTTTGATTAGCAACTTTGGCCCTCATTTCCCAGCTTTTTCTAAAAGAGCAAAGAATGAAGTTTTGTGTTTTCATATGTAGGAATCTAAAACCTCCAGAAGGAACAATATGCAATTTTAGGACCCCAGATCCGTGGAAGGCTATCAGGCAGGAGAAAAGATTATAAAGGAAAAGAAGGGGAGAAAACAAAAGAATTAATTTCATCGGTCCCTAAGGGGCATGTGTGTGTCTGTAAGGGTCTGCACACAGGGGCTTAGATCTCCTGCACAGTGTCCGGAAGAACAGGGCCGCTCAAGTCCACCAGCCCAGCCTCTGGCTCTGTCCAAAGACTGGCCCCAGGACGGGGCAGAGCAGCATCCCGTTTCTGGCCTGGGCTCCCAGAAGCTTCCTCTAGGTCAAGGCTTCTCCCCTCCCTGGGTCTCGGTTTCCCACGGGGGCCCCCGGAGGCCGGCAGCCCCAGGCTTCTCGGACTCCCGATGCCGGGACTGAGCTGGAAGAGCCCGCAGGTGCCCAAGGGGAGATATTGGTTCTCCCCTGAGGTGGGGCCTCTGCCCTCGGGAACCGCCCGCCCGCTCGGCCTTCATCCCTGATAACAGCCCATCCCCGCCCAGCCGGAGGCGCGGGCTTGTCAGCCAGCAGCACGGAGGCAGCAGCCACCCCACTCCGCTCCGCGCAGAGGCGACCCCTCCGGCCCTGTGCAGGGGGCTCGGGCTGAAGCCATGTTCTGGGAGCTCCGAACGGACCAGGCTCCTTCGCTGAGGTGACGCAGAGCCAGTCCGTGGACTGACTACCCCAGCCGGCCAGGCTCAAGGGCGTGGCAGGATGGTGGCCCCTAGAACATCAACATCTTAATCCTTCGAGCCTTTGACCTAACATAGCAAGGAGGACTTTGCGGATGTGGTTCAGTTGATCTCCTGAGATGAGAGGTGATCCTGGGCCGACCGGCCGCAGAGGAGGGACGCTACGGAATCCGAGGGATGGGAGAGGGGACCCCGCGCCACGGCTCTCCGGGGAGAGGGAGGGCCAAGAAAGGCAAGAGGCTCCAGAAGCTGGAAAAGGCAGGGGACAGAATCTCCCCCGCCGCCTCCGGAGGGCACACGGCCCGGCCACACCTGCACGTTCGTCCCTGAGACCCGCGTGGGACGTCTGACTCCTGAATCCTGAGGTGCAAGTTTGAGGAGTTGAAGCGTCTGGGTCTGCGGCAGCCTGGTCAGCGGGGCTCGCCTGTGGTCCCTCTCCATCCAGGGCGCCAGCAGCAGGACCCGCCTCCCGCCGGCAGTGACCCAGACCCCAGGCACAGGGCGCACAGGGCCCCCGTTGGGCCAGGCTTCCAGGTGGACGAAGACAGACACCTGCCATCTGCATCTTCAGCTGCAGACCGACCTTAACCTTCAGGTGGCCTTGGAGCTCCCCTCACCTGGCGGCCTCCGTTCCATCCCCTGCGTGCGACGGGGTTGGAACGGAGATTTGCATGATCCCCACACCACCCAGCTATGGGGACGTGAAAACAAGATGCTTGTTAGGGCTCTGCTGCCCGAGCTGGGGCTGGAGGTGGAGAGGGAGGGCTTCCAACCAGGAAAGTGCTGTTCCCACCCCTCCCCTGCCCCAGGGCGCCCAGGCGGGAGGAGGGGAGGTGGGGGGGGACATGCCTAACCCCTGCAGGCCAGGAGGGGGCACATACCTCTACGGTGCACAACCCTGTGGCAGCATAAAGCTTTAACTGAGTGTGAAGCTGGAGGTGATTATGCTGTGAGTGGTGCACAGCTCAGCTGCGGCGGAGCTCTGGAACAGCAGGGCCACAGGCTGTCGGAGCGGCCAGACCCCTTCCCTCCGGCACGCAGCCCCGGGGACACAAGGCTCCCGGCCCATCTGGGGGCCGCGCTCCTCACCATACACGGCCCGTGTCTGGGCTCCCCCCCGGCCTGTGACCCCTGGGGACCATAGGGGACGTGGGCTTCCCTTCGTGAAGGAGGTTCCGTGTGCAGCTTTGCCTGGGAAAGTCTGTGCGTCAAGCCGTGTCGGAGGCCAGCAGGCCAGCTCCGTGCAGGGGTGACTGCAGGTACCCGGCCTCTTCTTGCGCGCCGCCCTGCGTGCCCATGGCCCGGGGTGCACACAGTCCACACGCGGGACCCCCTCGGCTGGGCTGTGGCTGCGGGGCCGACGCTCCAGGCCTCGGCGCCGTGCATGCTGTTCCACTGCACGGGCCTGAGTGGAATGTTCTAGACCACCCCAGGCTCCCTGCATCCGTCTGCTCACTTTGTATAAAAGAGCTGCTGCTGCGTGGAGCCACAGCATCTCCCCGGGGCCCTGACCTCACCTGACAGAGATTAACCCCTGCCTGCTCAGCTGTAGCTGACAGACCTCCCGGGTCCCTCAGCCCCCTGCGAGGGCGTCCCCTCCCCACCAGCCCACCCCCAGCGCCGACTGACCTGTTCCCTGCCCTAGAGCCACGGAGGGCCGCGGAGGGAGAGAGCGCTCGGCGGGGAGCCCAGCCTGGACCCCTGCCCTCCGGGGAGGCTGTGGTTTCACGCCTCAGCCTCCTCGTTTTACAAAGAAGGTTGGTGGGCAGGGAATCTAGTCCCAGATGGTTGTGTAAGTTCCTTCCGGCTTCGATTCCAATTTCCATTCTTTTCTCTTCATTCTCCCCGGTCATGGTCAAGGTCGTGTCCCTCCCCTCAGACCGATGTTCTGGGCAGGTGAGCCCACGCCCAGCCCCTGAGCCCCGCAGCCGTGGGCTCTCCGCTGCACGTGTGAGAGGGCTGTGCTCGCCAGTCAGGACCTCACCGGCCAGCCTGCGGCCCCGGCTCCGGCTGGGGTGAGGGGGCGGGGGCGGCCCGTGCTCCAGGCCGCCGGCTCGGCCTCCGCTGCCCTGCCCTCGTTCACTCTCCCCCTGCCCTCGTTCCCTCTCTGCCTGGCAGTCGCTCCTTGGTAACACGCGGGCATCCTGCCCCCTCCTGCTGCTCGTTCTGGGACACCTGATCCGGACAAACCCCAAAGGGGAGGAAGGACCAAGTGTTCCAGGAGACGTTCCAGCAGGTGGAGCGGCAGGGGTGCGTGTGCCGGGGCACCGCTGCCCCCTTTGCCCGAGGAGACCCGCACGCCAGGTTTTCAGGACCCAGATCTGACCAAGCACAGCCTTGCCGTCGCTACAATGGCGTGGCAACGGCGTGACGCCTTGATTGAGAAACGGGCGGTTCACGAGGGCCTGCGGCTGTGACACGGTCCTGGGGCACATCAGTTCGCCCCACAGGTGGCTGGGCCACTTCGTGTGAGAACTACTGAGGAGCTGGTAGCCTGGGAAAGGCAGGTGCCCAGGGGCTTGGAGCAGAGACAGCCCCCCGAGTCCATCCCGGGGACCAGCCTCAGGTCACCCCCAGGCCCTGCCACCTGGCGCTGGAGGCTGTCCCACCCATGGAGCAGCTGGCCTCGTGGGCGGCCTGCTGCAGGTCACCGGTTTCCCAACGACCGGGGCTGGGTGCTGAGCATGTTCAGGTCAACAGCGGGGAGGGGACTTGAGGACAAGAAGCCGCTGAAGACAGGTGAGTGGAGGCGTCCAGGGCTCCCGGCTTGGGCAAGCCCACCCCTGTCACGTGGTGCTCTGGGGTATAAGAGACGTGGGGTTTCAGCTCCGGGCCCTGGGCGGCCGCCGTCCTGATACAAGGCTGAAGCGAGGCCCGGCCTGTGGGCCGGGCAGGGGGCGGGGCAGGGAGTTAGGGCAGTAAGTCCGGACAGGTGGCTTATGTCAGGTCAGGTGGGTGTGGACGGGGAGGCTCGGGCAGCTGGGTCCCAGGAGGGGTCTGGGCCACTGTGCGCACAGAATTAGGGACTCTGCAGAAGCCTAGCCCAGACAGGCTGAATGACCCTGGGTACCCGAGAGCAAGGTGGGGGCTGCCCAGCTTGGACCAGCTCCAGCAGGGCCTGTGGGACCGCCCCCCCATCCCTCCTAGTGTCTGGGTTCCCGAAGAAATCCAAACGGCACAGTCGGGGAGACCTGCTTCTTCAGGAGCCGCTGCTGAGGGCTGACAAGCTGACGTCCGGGGTCCCGTCTGCAGCTGCCTCTCCTTTCTCCCGTGAAGCCCGTGTGCGGAGACACCAGAAAACATGTGCTCCAAAGAGTCGCCCGAGGGCAGGGCCCCCGCTGCTGTCCGTCGGGTGGACACGGCTCATTTTGTCCCTGGGGGCCTGCTGCCGGCCCCAGGCACCGTCACTGCAGGGAAGAGACTTTGCATCTGAGGACTTATTTGGCACCACTGTCTCCAGCTCCTGGACCCGTCCTCTGTTTCGGGGACACTCTGACTCCGTAAGCTCCCGGTGCTGGGCCCAGAGACACCCAGCCGGCACCGAACCCGGGAAGAGCCAGCACCCTAAGCCACCTGTAGGAGGCAGTCACCGCTCCCTGACTTCCATCACTCAGCTCCCAGAGCAGGTGGACTGGGACTAATTAGGCACTTAACAGGGGATTATTACCAGGGAGAGAGCCGAGTGACAACAATTAA